CATATGCCTTTTCAAGATCCAATTTGCAAACCAACCCCTTTTCCTTTCTCCTCCTCTTCACCTCAACACATTCATTGGCAATAAGTATTTGATCTACAATTTGTCTTCCTTCTACAAAGGCCCCTTGATACGGTGAGATTAGAGACAGGAGGATCTTTTTTAATCTTAGCGCTAGGACCTTAGAGATGATCTTATACATGCTTCCCACCAGGCTTATAGGTCTGAAATCCTTTGGTTRGAGAGCGTCCTTCTTCTTAGGAACCAAGGCAATAAAAGTTGCATTTGCTCCCGAGTTAAATTTGCCTCTCTCATAGAACTCTTTAAAAACCTCCAACAAATCCTCTCTAATTATCTCCCAACAATCTTGATAGAAGGCCATAGAAAAAAGGAACAATAAAAAGGAATCCCACAAAATGAGGACACTTCAATTTTTAAAAGTAGGCAGCATCAGAAACGGCTTGTTCAAGTATCAGGGCATTATGATAATTTTATTTATATGGCACACTTACATGAACCAAATTAAATATTTCATCATATAAAAAGAAAGATCAGTGTACCAAAGTCTGAAATAATGGTGTCAAACAGCATAAGTGTCAAATACAGCATGAGTTCCTTTTTAGTCCATGATAAGAAAAGTAATTTATTATGATGATCGTATAAGAAAACCATACCTGACGAGGCTAAAATCCAAACATGTGTAAATAAGCCAAGTAAAACAACCAACCAGAATCTATATCCAAAACAACAAGTGGAACAATAGAAAACTATACCTGACGAGGCTAAAATTCAAACATGTGTAAATAAGCCAAGTAAAACAACCAACCAGAATAATATCCAAAACATGTCAACAAGTGAAACAATAGAAAATTTTCCAATACCTTATTCAGGCAGGAGACAGCACTCCTACCATTGACCCATTAGTCCCTAACAAGGATATTAATCCCATGGTTCTCCTTATTAAAGAAAATTCTGTGATTACTAGAAGTCATAATCTAGATTTTGGAGCATCTCCTTCAACTAAGAACTTTTAATCTTCAACATAAAAATCAGAAAAGAAAATTCTCGTATTTATCTACACCTTTTTGTCATTCAGACCACACCCAATGCCCTCCTCTCTGATTAGATCTAAACTAAAAGGTCAAGATAGTCAGAAACTTTGGATTTTATGTATTAAAAAAAAGCTTTCTTCGAGTTCAAAAGTTCCAAAAATGGCCAAGTTTAAAGATGAAGTTTTCAACCATTGACATCCAAATGCAGACAGGGATCATGTTCTTGGGTGCTTCTGTTGCCTGTACAGTTATCTTGTTCCTGAATTATAACAAGAAGCACACCTTGTTGAGACCTAAAATCTTACCATATAGTAATGCTATGGAGTTCGAAATAAAGACATCAAAATATAACTCCACATATTCACTTCTTGGGTTCTTCAGGGTTTTATATATCATGTCCATTTATTTCCTAATAAAATTATTTTCTACTTATCAAGTTTTTGTATAGTAGCTTTCTCGGATAGCAGTTTTTCTTTCTCCTTTTTAATGCTTCTTACTGCTCCTGCACAGCTGCTTAATTATGGAGCATAAAGTGTCAAACTCGATCATTTTATTTATCAAATCAAATTTAGCGAAGGAATGAATGACACCATTGACATGATAACAAAATTGAAACAAGGGACAACACAACACATTAATCTTTGGAAGTTTGTAAGGAACACTTCATGAAATAGATTGTGGGAACTCATAGACCTGAAGAGAAATCCAATTTTTAATGGCACCAAGATAGTTTCCTAGATGTATAGATCCTGTAGGCTGGACTCCAGATACAATCCTTTTCCTGTGAAATGAAGAGACAATAATAAAGGAATGAATATCTAATGAGTAATAAACATCTAATTGTATAGAAGGCTCTGTACTTTTTTTTATCATCTGATACAATACTTTTTTTTGTATAATTCATTTACATTGATCAGATATAAAGGCCACAACCCCTTTTTTAAAAAGTGTGGGGAATACATTTGGTTAAGAAGCAATTATATTAAACCTAACACCACCTAGACATACACCAAAAAAGGAAAAATAAAAACTGCAAAACTAGTCTCATTGCATTCATCATGTCAACAAGAATTTCACAAAATTGCAAGATGGTGAGGTTAGAATAATTCATTTGACTTTTAAATGAACAATACCTACAAGTATGAACATTAAGCCAGATAATATGCATCAAAATTCAGTTCAGCCAATTTGACAACTCGATGATTATAATCTAAAAAGACAAGCAAATAAAGTGAACCTCCAGCACAGCTTAGTCAGCCAGTTGATTCCACAGAACTGTGCTTGAGACCCATCTTCACTCACTAACCCTGTTTTCCCATCAAGAACAGATCATGGGAAACATCTGAAAATGTTCTTCACTTCAAAATTGTAAACTTCAACAAGTTAGGGGTTGAACAACTTTTTTGTTTCATTTCTTTTCTTCTTCCCCCTTGTGAGCATTGTTTTAAAAGGCGTAAGCATACGCCTTGAGGTGAGGCGCACAGATTTTTTCTCAAGGCTTAAGCCTCTAAACTTTGATGTGAGGCTTAAGTGTCTGTCAAAATGAGGTGTAAGCCTCAAGCCTCAATGTGTGAGGCGTAAAAAGCATAAGCCTCAAGTGTCAATGATTATTTAGTGATTCAATGGAATATATATTATCCTTTTTTATAGTTCAAAATATGTGCAAGAAGCACTTCAATAATTATGGGCCAAACAAAAAGAGCAAACAAAAAACAAGGCAAATCAAGTTCTATTAGTTTGTCTTAGTGTTTTATAACAATTCAATGCAAAAGATGGGCCAATCAAGCTCTTAGTTTCTCTTTTTTTTATCAATAACTGAAAATCATTAATGCATTAATAATTCATAAGCAGAAGATACAAATAAGGAGGAGATAAACTCAATGTGTTTCTCTTGGATAAATCAAGTACGGTTTGCTTTTCTTATTAGTTTAAATCTAACATCCCAAGTTTGTCATTTTTCCCATTTCTTTTCCTTGTAGATTTATTTTCTTTTCGCATAGATCAAATCAACTAGGTTGTTTCCTTTCTTATAAATCAGTCGTTTGAATCATTTGAGAACTTTGCAATGTGAAATGTGAAATGTAAAGTGTTTATGATTGTTAGTTGATTAATTATTACTTTATTTAATGTTTAAAAGTTATTACTTATTGCTTATAAACCATTTTATGGATATTTTTATCTTATGTCATTCTAACTTGGTACTATATGTTATTTTCATTATTTATAAACTTTAGTTGCTTTTTTTTCTTAATTGTTGAGGCTTACGCCTCGTCTTTTTGGGCCATTACGCCTCAACTACGCTTTCAGCCCTTTAAAACCTTGACCGTGAAGGAGACTTTTTTTATCAGTCGTGGAGAAGGGTCTAATGAAATGAGATAAACAGCACAATGCACAACTGCTCGGAATAAAACCATTTAAGCTCAACAAAAAAAAAATAGCGTAAATTTCAATAAGTTGGTATTTTAAGCAGAAGGCAATCCTCACTAGACAGATTATGAAAAACCCACTAAAAATATACAAGAAATAAATAACAATATAAGTATACGTTGTTCAAAAATGTGACACCTATCACTTACTTAACAGTTATGGAAGAAGTCTCAGAAGATTTGGGTTCAGAGACCGAAACACTACTACAATAGCATCGTAAAGTGGAAGCATAACGTTTATTCATTCGCCCCCATCTTTTCCAGTATAAATTCGGAATTCGACCGCTTGACCTGGAAATGGAAGGTGAGAGAGAGAGATGAGAAATAACAGAAATAAAAAGAAAGATAAGAAAATTATGGAGAAAGAAGATACATTGGAGCTACGAAACGAGGGGAAGCGATAGATAGGAGCGAGAGGTGGGAGATAACAGAGCTACTCATTACGTGTATTCCTCTCTTCCTCTTGGGCTTGTAAAGAAGAATATATGGTGATTTTTTTATCCGGCGCGCGTGAAGGAAAGACACAGACGGGAAGAGCAGGCCGAGTTTCGCACCCTTCGGTCCTCGCTAAGTCTCAACTCTCAACGGCAAGGAATTGAGGAAAGATCGTAGTATGGAATGAGAATCAATCTAGCCGTTGGTTAGAGCTAATATGACGTAATCATATAAATGGGAGGCTGGGAGTGTAAAAGTTTGTTTTTAGTGCGCCTCACACCAACTTCTGGGTCGGGCTGGGCTCAGGCCAGACTTTCATTCTATATTAACAGATTTTTCGAAGGGCTAAGCCCAAGCCTGGGCCCAAGTCTGAAATTTAGCCCATATTGTTATTATTGTTAAAGCAACTGAATAGATAGAGATAAAGAAAATAATAAAAAATGTATATAATAAATTATAAATATATATATATATTTTAATAAATATTATATTATTTATATATTTTATATAATATATAAAATACATATTATATATTTTATAAAATATATAATGCTGAGTCGGGTCAGGTCGGGCTTTTTTGACAAATCTCGAGCTTGGCCCGAAACACAATCGGGCTTATTGTGTTAGGCCCGCGGGCCTAATTACTTGACCAAGCCCAACCGAGGTGTGGGCCGAGCCATCGGGTTACCCGGCCCATAAACAGGTCTACTCACCGGAGATGTTCCCAATGCACAATGGATGTGATTATTAGGCACCCATGTGTGAGGAGCAGATCCCATTCCAGTGAAATGCACCTATAAGCTCAGTGTGAGGAGGTGGAATCTACTCTTCACAAAGCGCATCTTACATTGACTTCACAGCCTACATCGCACCCTTTATTGGAAACATCTCCTCATGAATAATATGGTGAGAAGTACATCACAGTCGACTACAGAAATCTGATTTCCACTGTAATCCTATACAATTCAAAGTGACAATCACCCCCCCTCTTAAATACCAATACACGCCTATGTATTGGCATCAATTCCGAGCCAGCATCTATCCAAACTCTACAATGGAACTAAGAATTCGTAGAGTGTATTGAATAATCATTATCATGATAATAAATACAAGTGTGGGAGATATTCCCCATGTACACTCTACGAGGAACTGATTCTAGTGTGAGGCGCCCCGTGTGAGGAGCATATCCCAATTCTGATCTAGGGTGCTAAAAGGTAGGTACGTTAAACTATGTACTCCGAATTCCTTAAATAGATGTCTCCGTCGACCCAGCTTTTAGTATTCCGCATCATCGGAAATCAAGTGACTTTAAACATTCCAAAATCCTAAAATTACCATTCTTTCTAATTATTTGTGATAAATTTAGTGATTAATAGAAATAAAATAGAACCATTATTAAAATCCTAAAATTGTATTTTTCTAATATCCAAGGTTTTTAAATGGATCAACGATTTAGTAAGGTTTTTAAAATCGACTCGTATAACGAACTGGTTAGGGGTCCGGTTCCCGGGTCAAACTCCTGTTATGACAAAAAAAAAAAAATTAAAAAACTGTCAAAATCGTTGAACTGTTTGAATGGTTCAACCACCGAGGTCAGCGGTTTATTGATCAAATCAACGTTTTTTAGGAAAAAAAGCCGGTTTTGGTGAAAAACAGAACCTGACCGGTTCCTGATTTTCCAGTCCGACCATCCGGTCTAGTCCGTTTTGAAAACCATGTGATTTAGTTCACTTCTACTATATATGTTGCAATATATATTATTCTTTTCTAAGTTTTTGTAAAAAACGTTATGATTAATAATAACAAAATAGAGTAAAAGAAATATCTCTTATTGCTAGTAGTTATTGTTAGATAGGTGTTCAAAATATAAATATGGGAATTTTAATAATTTTATCCAGGGGAGCCATGTTGCCCCCTATAGCCCATAAATAATTTCCCCCTTGGTGCCACTTATGGTTGTGTACCAGCAATTTTAATTTGATGGGGGGAAATTGATTGCAAAAAGGAATTCAAATCAGCCCCCCACAATGTATTCATGTCCCAACAGAACATCTCCGCCGTGTATTGAGAATATCTCTCGATGATGGCATCATCATTTCCGATATATCATTGGGAGGTGCTCTCAATACACGGCAGGGATGTATTGTGGGACGTTGTGGGGGCAATCTTGTGGGGATGATTTGATCTCTCAAAAAAAAGTATTTGCTTGATCTAATATATTCACAAAAACCAATTTTTTCGTTGCCATCCAAATATTGCATTCGTATAGCATAACACATCAACTAAAAAAGGAATGGATGGTTCATTTATCCACTGCAATGTCCAAGAAATTAATCCAACCTGAGATGATGAAATGGAATGGTTACTATTTAGCTTTGTCTGGGTTGAGGCCCATTTGAACTTGGAACCAGATTGCTCATACATAAGGACATATAAAGAACAAACGATGAATTATTTCAAGGGCTTGTTGCCAAAAGGGACATTGCTGATCTTCCAAAGATAACCATGCAGAAGATTTGTCTTTGTGAGTACATCATCCCAGGGGGTATTCCAGAGAAGCTACCAGTTGAAGTGGCCTGCGTAGAGACTTACATACAGACGAGTTTACCAAAAACTAGTGATAAGTTGGGGATATAGTGAAGTTCCCTTTTGGGGATTTAGTCCATATAAGTTGGTATGTTACCAAATCCATGTTGGTTAAAGCACAAGAATGTGAGGGATATGTTAATGGTGGATATACATATTAAGGAGTTGTTGGTTCTAGGTAAACCTGTATCATGGGTCGGGTTCTGGCTTGACGTTTTGTAAAAATTTTGATGAATTCAGCCTAAAACCCAAACTTGAAACAGTGTAAAATTGGGTCCAATGCCTGGCTCATGAATAGGTACCATTGTTATTGATTAGATCCGTCACCTCAAGAATTGATTAGTGCCTTGGTGTGATTGCAAAAGCCATGGGAGTGCCATTAGAGATGGTTGTAAACCAAGGATCATGGAAAACAAAACGTAGGTCCCATCCTTAACTAGCCATAAAAGATAAGACTTCAGGCCCTGTTTGGTTCGCAGGAATAGGGGTTTGGAATCAAAATTTGAATGTGTTATTCCAATTCCAACTGTTTGGTTGGGCGGAGTCGGAATCCCATTCCCATTACTGTTGGAATGGCATTCCCCCATTTGAGGGAATGATCATTCCCTGCCCCTCCCTTGGGAATGAAATCTCATTCCTGCTGATTTTAATTCCCATTTCTATTCCTGTCTGAACCAAATAAATTATGGGAATGGACCATTCTAATTCCGATTCCAGATGATTTCGATTCTAATTCCGACTGTAAACCGAATGAACCCTCAGTTATTTAAAAAGTAGTCCATGAGTCAACTTCCACCTTAACGGACTTCTTTGTCCCTTTTTGGCCCCGAAGTTACTGCTCTTAGGAAAATATTATCCTTTGATAATTATGCTCCAAAGACAATTTGGTGAAAACAAAAGTCTCTAAACTTATTGTATGCTCCAATTTGTAATTGCCCTAACGACCAGTTGGGGGAGAGTAAGTTAAAAGGTAAGATGAAGGGGTAGAACGAAATGTCTAGTTGGAAGGCATATTGGGACAGATTAGCAAAACAAACACAATGTCACTCACTCTTCCTTTTGCCAATTCATTGCCTGTAGTTGTAGAAGACACAAATCCACTTTCCATGTGTTAGATTATGGTAGGGGTAAGGCTATGTTTGATTTGAAGGAAAAAGTAGGGAAATGAAGGAAAAGGTAGGGAAACCTTTACAAATCTTGTATAGGTTTTCCTACCTTTCCCTATATTTTCCTTCAAACAAACATAGCCTAAGCTACATACTTTGCAGTCCTAGTAAGCACATTAAATGAGCACTTGATAAATATTTTGACAACTGTCAAAAGTGGGTATTAATCTTTTTCAAGCGTAGGTTGGGGGTATTATAAGGGACAAGTGTAAAAAAAATTCTAAGTGCTCATTTACGGTGCTTACAATGTTGTGCATACTTGATCCAAACTTCATCCTTTGAGAGTGGTAAATTTTCTATACTATATCATTTGTTAATTTTAACGTGTATTAATCAATTATTATTTTTATTAATAATTTAGTTTTGAATATGTTTATTACATTCACAATTAAATTATTTTTAATATTTTATAATTTTAACAAATATTATAAATACATTTATTTTAACAAATTCATTATTTGTTTTTTTTTTTAAATTTTATAAATAAAATCAATTTTAAAATAAACTATTAGCTTATAGTTTGTATTTATTAATTAGTAATTTTATTTATGATATACTTTTATTAGTTATTGTTAAATGAATTTGTATATTTGTTTTAATTTTATTAATTTTTATTGTTTATAAATAAACTTAAAATGGGGCTTAAGTTAATAAAAAATAGTTACAAAATTAATAAATATTCAGTGGTTTTATTTTTATTAAGTTTTATTTTCTTAATTAATATAATCATACTTTCGTTCTAAAATTTATTTAGTTTATTAATAACATTAATCTTAATTTTATTATTTTCCATTCATCTTTTTATTTTCAAAGGCCTGGGCCCGGGCTTATGTTTCAGGCCCTGGCCTGCAACCCGGGCTGGGCCGAGCCGGGACCAGGATATAGCCCTTATCACACTTTGCGGTCTAGGGCCGAGTCCGGGACCAGGATGGCAGGATATATCCCTTATCACACTATTACAGGTGCAAAGCCCGGTCCGGCCCACGTTCACCCCAAGGACCGACACAGTTCGTGCCCGGTGCTCTCTCCACACCCCTACCCGTAGGTTGTTTCCTCTGTTTTTTTTTGTCAGTGTCGATGTAAGAAGGAGAATTCGAGAAGAAAGGAACGATGGAAAAGGGTCGCAGAGAGGCAAAAAAGCCTAACTATTCTTCTTCATCTCCTGATGAACAGAGGCGTCTTCGATCTAACAATTTTCATTCAAATCGGTCAGAAAACAATGCTCAAGTTTCAAAAAGAGGTAGCACCTGCAGTAGTAATACCCTGGATGAAAACTACGGCCAGAGTCAAGATTCATCCAATCTTCCCTCCTTAGTAGGAACTTGCCTCGACATGTGCCCAGGTAATTCTATTTATTTATTTGATGTTGTTTCTGTCTGTTTAGTTATGCACCTATTTCGGAAAGATTTGTTTTTGACATGGAATCGAGAATCAACGGGCCATTATGCAAAGTGTACACTTGAGGCTATGAAAAAATCATAGTTTGTTTGGAACCATCTACCTTCCAAATTTGGTCTTATTGCAATATCACTTGAGGCTATCAATGGACCATTATGCAAAGTGTACATTTGAAATAAGGGCATACACATGGGATTTCAACAAACTTTATAAAAGACTATTTTTATGAATTTTCAAGAGATATGATGTTTTCCGGCTTTCGTGCTCTTCAAATATTTAAAGTTGCTCAGCATACTTCTTTTTAGAGAAATATAATTACAATTTCATTTCATTTTGCAGTGTAGAAATATTTCTATATATCTGACAGTGTATAAAAATTACAAAAGGGAAAAGAAGAAAAGAAAGAACCTATACTTATATAATGCAACTTCTAGTAATATGATTAACAATTCAAAAAATGTTGCTCTGAAATTGTTCTAGCATTGGAATGTTGCCCTTCCCTGATACATGTTCTTTATTTCTTTGGAAGAGATTGTTCTATTGTTTATTCCACTTCTTGTTGTTGTTCTGTTTCTCATAATTTTAATGAATTTCCTTCCGAGTTACTGATAAAAAAAGGAGATTGTTCTACTGTAGTTTTTACTATGAATAAAAGTAGCTGTATTTGAAAAAAAAAATCCTTAGGTATCTATTTTAACTATGGGTTTCACTGTAAGGGCATATTCTGCGGTTGCTTTAATTCTGTTTTCTGTGTTCTTTACTTTACCAAGACTTGTATAGGGGAGGGTGGCACCATCAAATTCCAGTTTTATGCTTTTGGGGTCTGTGTATTCTCACAAGAAAGCTTTTCCATACACCCAATAAATCTACCCTTAATTGTGTCATTGAAACCAAGCTTTATTAATTGAAATGTGTGACTAAGATGGCAATAGCATGTTCCTTTTAAATTACAGTTAGACATGTTGTAAATGAACATTTTCTATGCTTATTTTCTAGGTATATGGATTGATGCTTATTCTCTATTGTGATTGATTGTTAAAAATAGCCAGGGAAAGGGCCCAACGTGAGCGTCTACGAGATTTATCCGTGTTTGAGAGATTAAATGGGAATCCTGGGAGAACATCTCCAAGCCTTGCTGTCAAGAAGGTGAGTTATATCAACTTATTTCTTTATCCAGCATTTTAGCTTTCCTTGAGGAAATTCTCTTTGTTGTCAATAAAGCAATGGTGTTTCGGTCTGTTACTAGTAGTAGTGATAAAGGAGGATATGATATATGAACTGCATGGGGAAAAGATCCATCTCTATCTTCATAAACCTTCTATCTTACTTTTTAATCAATGGATCTTCTATTTTCTTGATCATCTCAAATTTTATGGGTCACTTTACTCCTTATTAATGCAATCCAATGTTTTAAAAGGCATGGGAGGCATGCGCCTGGAGACGTGCTTCTAGGTGAGGCACCTCCAAAACACCTTGAGGCATATGCCAGAGGCACTGACACCTCTGAGGCATATGCCACATACGCTTTTTTCATGGGGCATGCTAGAGGTGTACGCCTCATGTGCCTCATGCACACCTCATGTAAAAAGACAGAAAAAAAAGAAAAAAAGGAAAGGAAAGGAAAGGAAAGGAAAAGAATTACCTTGGTAGCTAATGTGTTTAGTCGAATTATCAACAGGGCTGATAGGGAAGATGTGATAAGGGGATGGAGAATAGGCACAAACCAAATTCCAATAACTCATTTGCAGTTTGCGGATGATTTGATGATCTTCTGTGGTGGTGGTTTTAGTGAGAAGGTGGGAAATGATTAAAGCTTGAAGGAGTGTCCAATTTGAAAATCAATTTAGAAAAGAGCTGCATAGCTGGAGTCAATTTGGACTTTGAGGAGGTTGAGGTTATTGCAGATTGTCTTCTGTTCTCCATTTCTACCTGGCCTTTGTCCTATTTAGGGCTGCTGTTAGGGGCAAACCATAGGGAGAGTAGGTTTTGGACCCCAGAGAGAAGTTTGAAAAGAGATTAGTTGTGTGGAAGAAAAATTACATCTCTTTGGGTGGGAGGATCACCTTGATAAGAGCTACCGTCACAAACCTACCTACTTATTACCTTTATGTCTTTAGGATACCATATAGGGAAGCGAAGAAACTGGAAAAAATTGATGAGAGATTTTCTTTGGGAACTGGGAGAAGGTAAAAAAGACCACTTAATTAGTTGGGAGGTTGTGGGTAGAAGCAAAGAGGAAGGAGAATTAGGGCTTGGGAATGTTCTTAAAAAGAATTCAGCTTTGTTAGGGAAGTTGTTGCGGAGGTGGCCTATGGAGCGAGATAGGTCGTGGCATGAAGTGGTGAAGAATATTCATGGATGCTCAGATAGTGGATGGGATGCTGGTGTTTCAAAGGGGGCTAACCTAGCAACACCATGGAAAGCAATTCACAAAATTCTTCCGCAGTTCCTCAATTGTATCAGGTATGATGCTTGTTCTAGTAATTTTATTCGGTTTTGGGAGGACATTTGGGCTGGAGATCTTCCCTTAAAAGACCTTTTTTCGTCCTTGTACTTCGTTTCTTTGTATAAAAAAGAGGTGATTTCAAAATTCCTTCCTTCAATTTTAAATTTGTTATCTTTGTCTTGGGATTTTGGTTTCCGTAGAGGGTTAAGGGAGGATGAAGTTGATTGTTTGTCTGCTCTTCTTGGTCTCCTCAATAAGGTTTGGTTGGATCCTTTGAAGCCTGATTAGAGGATTTGGGCCATTCACCCCAATGGGTCTTTTTCTTGTGGTTCCTTTTTTAATTTCTTATGCAAAACCTCCTCTCAACAAAGCCTCCCTTCCAAAGAAGTTTGGTGTAGGCCGGTTCCCCCCAAGGTTATGGCTTTGTGTTGGGAAGTGTGGCATGGTAAAGTAAGCACGATGGATAACCTATAAAAGAGAAGACCCTTTCTATGTATTTCTCCAAACTGGTGCACTATTTGCAAATCTCATGGTGAGGAATGTTATCACTTATTTTTATCTTGTAGTGTCCCTGTAGAGCTTTGGGTTTGGCTTCTATCATTGTTTGGGTGTAGATGGGATATGCTAATAGAAGTAAGTACAATCTTTAACCCTTCTATGTTCTATTGGCCCCATAAAAGAGGAAGGAAAATGTGGAGGTGTGCACAAGCAGCCTTGTTATGGACAGTTTGGGAAGAAAGGAATGCCAGGATCTTCCAGGAAAAGGGGAGGAGCAGTTAGGCCTTGAAGGACTGCATTTTGTATAGGGCAATACATTGGTTAAAGACTTTGGATTTGTTTGATCATTTCTCCTTTACTGATTGTTGGAGGGATTGGTTATCAGTAGCAAGTTGTTCCTCCTCCAAGGTAAAGGTAATGACAAGCTAGGTCCCCCCTCCTCACAGTTCTTTGAAGCTGAATTTTGATGGAAGTAGCCAAGGCAACCTGGGTCCCTATGGATTGGGAGGTGTACTGAGGAATGAGGCTGGAGAAGCTGTCTTACTATACTCTGGCCCTTTAGGTGTTGGGAACTCTATTCGGGCAGAGCTGTTAGCTGCAATACAAGGAATAGTTCTTGCAAAAGAAATGGGTGTGGAGCAGTTTCTGGTTGAAGGGGACTCTAAGACAGTGGTGAACTGGTTAAATAATCCGGAGGATGTCACGTGGGATTACAAGAATGAGATAAAGAAATTCAAATGGCTGACAAGGAATATGTCTGTAATAGTACGGGGGGTTGGGAGATCAGCTAATGCATTTGCTGATGTTTTGGCAAAACAAGGGGCAAACAGGGAAACGTTGTTATGGGCGCAACTGTAATTTGTGTCTTTTTAACAGTCATGCACTTTTTGATGTAGTTGTTGTGTTTTCTGTTTGGAGAGGCAGCTCCTCGTTCCTCTCAAAGGGGATTTTCATGTAACCGATCATTGAATTAATGGAATGACTCTTATCAAGAAAAAAAAAGAAAGGGAAGGGAAAGAAAAAGAAAGAAAGAGAAGAAAAAAAAAAAAGAGAAAAAGAAAGAAAAGGAAAGGGAAGGGAAGAAAAGATAAGGGGAAAGAAAGTGGGCTTGGGGAGATTCTTCATTCTTTTTAATATAAAAGATTTTTATTAAAAACAAAGAAAAATGAGATTCTTCTTCCTCATCATCCCCCCTCCTCTTAAGGGGGTTTACACCTCTTGCATTCTGAACTATGTCTCATGCCTCTAGGTAGTGGAATGCCTCGCGTCACGCCTCCGCGTTTTAAAACATTGCTGCAATTTAACTCATTCGTGTTGTAAATTGCAGAATATGCTCACCCTAGTTGTCTGTGGAAGGTTGAGTGCTTGCAGTTTCTAACCCATTCTATTGCAGTTCAATTGCTCTTTAATGGTGGCTCAAATCTTTAAGCACATATCAGAAATTTGAGGACATTATATTGAATCTATGAAACACAAATTATGACTGTTCTTAGCTGATCAAACTTAGAAAATATAAACAAAGTGACAGATCCATCAGTCAGGGAGAGAAGGGAAATATGGATATGAGATTGGAGAGAGGGTAGCTATGGGGAAACATTGAAGAGGTAGAAAGGGAGTAATGATGCCATGGTATGGGTAGAGATAGGGGAGGGAGCTGTTGATTTGGGGAGGGCTTATGCTCTCAGGGCCAGGGGAGGGCTGGTTGGTATAGCCACACAGGTTCTGGTGTTTTTTCAGGTGTTAGTTTTTTCTGACTTTAGACTTTCTTGCGGTATGTTTTTGTATGATTGGTTTTGACTTTGTCTTGTAATGTCTGTGCTGTCTAGTGTGTCATTTTATAGCTGAGGCTTTGGTCTTGGTTGCCTTGGGGGTGATTCATGAAGCCAGTTCTTTTACTTGTCTCTCTGATGTGGGGTGGATCTGTATGGTGGTCCCAAATAAAGAGGTTAAAGTGGTGGAGTTTAAATAATACTAGTTTAACATCCCCTGATTGATGAAGGTGTAACCAAGGTACTAAATCTTGATTACTAGGGCTGAATGCGTAATCATGATAGAAAATCTTAGTTAGATGTCTGGTGTAGTAACTTTGTTTCTTTACTGGGTATTCCTGCAATAACCATAACCGGTAAGACATTTTTTTTCATCGTAATGCTGGTTTGTTTTGTGTAAAACATTCTTGTTCTGTTGATTATGGATCTCTTATTTCTTCAGATTGTATTTATTATATTGCAGATTGTGTCTCTTTCGTTTATCACCAATATTTTATCATAGCAAAGTGCTCCTCTTTGTATGAAAGATGTCAAATAATGTTTTTGTCTTTCTATGGTATACCCAGGCATTAGGAGTCTGCCATTTTAATGCATGATAACATTAATACTGATACATATGCATGATCAAATAATGGTTGTATTTTAATGCATGATAACATTAGAGTTCATTCTCCATTTCTATTAGTTTTGCAGAACCATGTCTACTACACACATACAGGCATCAGATGTTCGGCCTCTTCCAGTGTTGCAGGGCACATTAGACTACCTTCTAAGTCTACTAGATTCTTCTGAGCATCCATTTGATGTAGTTCATGACTTTGTTTTTGACCGTACGAGATCTATACGTCAAGATCTTAGCATGCAGAACATTGTTAATGATCAGGCAATCAACATGTATGAGGAAATGGTATGACTTCTCCAGTAGGAAGTTTTTCCACTTGTTTATACTCTTCTTCAATCTAGGGAACGGGGTTGTACAACTGTACAGTTTGGAATTATTGATTTGTACGCATTTTATTTATTGGTTGAAGGCAATTTTCTCTACAGCACCAGATTCTAAAGTCAACTATTTACTCTGGCATTGAAGCTTCTGTGAATATAATCTAAATGATTAATTCTGCTCTTTAGGATTATTTTTTTTTCAAAGGCAAATGAAGTATGTGTCATATATGAGGTGCTTGCCTAGTTTTCTAGGCTCATGCTTGGATTAATTCTGATGGGTGCATGAGTGTCATCTTATCTTACTAATTTGCTCATTTCTTTTAAAGAAAATGGCAATACCTTTTCTGTTCGTCTCTTTTGATATGTTATGTCTGATCCAGAGTCATTTTTTACGATCCCTTTTATGTTTGATAGATAGTGTACAGTATTTGTGGGAAAATCCTAGCTCCCATGGGACTATGTTCTCCTCAAGTTGATCATCTCTCTCTCTCTCTCTCTCTCTCTCTCTCCCCCTCTCCCTCTCTCTCTCTCCCATGGGACTATCCCACTTATGCTGGTTATGTGATGCATGTTATAAACCTCCTCCTTGAGACTTGAGAGACAACCCCCTCCCCAAATACAACAGAGTTAGGTTGAATTGTATGTTGTTTTCATTGCTGTTTTTAAGAAAGACATGGATTTATGGACCCAATATGTAGGCTGGAGAAACTCCACCGATTCCATTCATATATACATTACATTTGAGCACAAAAGAATTGATACCTATTCACCCCTTGTTTATCCAATACAAGCCATACCACTTGCTGACCTTTGCACTCAATGAACTGTTACATCTAGTTCCTTCTCCATCCATTTGATCTCCTTAATGGTTTGTCTATATTGCCATATTGCTTGGTTGAAGTTCTTTAGCCAACTAACTACCAATTTGGAATCCTCTTTAACCACTATTTTGGTGAAATTCATTGGTTTGCCAGCATCAAACCTCATAGAAAAATTAACAAGTTTGCTCTTAATGATTCCCAATGTCACTTGTTTTTGAAAACAAAGCTAAAATCATACCATTACCATCTCTAAAACCCTTCCTACTCGGAGGAACCTGGATTGCTGAAGCTACTTCTATAGTTCAATTAAAATTGAGCTTTATGGGGTTATTTCTAGGTGGTTCCTGAAGCATTTGATTCACCATTCTCTTAGTAGATGAGTTGTCTATTGTTCTCCATCCTCAAAATATCATCCACGTAAAATGGGGCAAAGGTATCTGTGTTTTTTATCAAGTTCTCCACTCCTACCGTGATACTCAAAAATTGCTTCCTTATTGTGGCTCTTCCAATTAAAATGTCTTTGCATTATTCCTCTGTTCCCAAAACCTTCAAATGATTACTGCCTTGGTGCATTGCCATATGATCCTCCCTCTTCTCTTTGGCAGAGTGAAGGTAACCGTGCTAAACAAACTGGCTAAATCAGATTGGGGTATCCACTTGCAACCAAAAAGAGAGGGAAATAACTTCCATCTACAAGAAACAAATGAACAGGAGATTAGTAAATGGAAAGGAAATCTCCTCACTCGCATTGCAAAAAAGCAAATATGTGGGGAAAGGCACCAACCAGGTCCTTTCTTTTGAATCTTATAACAAGTACTAATTTTCTTGTGAAATATCTCCCAACAGAAAGCCCTAGTTTTATGGGGCATGGGTCTACTCCAAAGATTTTCTAACCTAGCCAATTATCTGTAGCTTTGCTTTTGTTGCCTTTGGGGTCTTGGGAGGGGTAGACTGGATATGGTCCTAAACTTCGGCATTCTTTTCTGCACAAACTCAAGCATTATTCTTTATTTGCTTCTAAGATGTGCATAATTCAGTTTTTTATTTGTTGCTTAGCTTCAGTCTTAATTTTCTTTTATTTGATGACCTTTTAAAATGATTAAGAGCATGTGTAATATATTGTTCATGTTCCTCTGTAGGACAATTGTTTACTGTTATATAGCTGGAAAATTTACTCCTTATCATTGACATAATATACACATACACTTATTTTTTTTTGAAGAATCAAGAAATTTTTTCATTAAAAGAAAAATATTACATCCTAACACCCTTTTCTCCCCTTGGAATCCAAATTAATATGCATGTGTCCACTTGGCATTCAGTTGCTCAGGCAGACTTTAACAGATCAAAGCAATTGAAACAGATTCAATCATTGTGTTGTGACATGAATTAATACATTTCTTTCTCCACAATTCTTTCATTGCTTCAGTATCTGCATCAATTAATATGTATGTGGATGTGTTTGACATGTACATGGTGTTTGCATACATGTATGTGCATATCCGATTCAGTTTCTTGCACTGTTTAATGCTGGTTTATCATAAAGGTTGTTAAAAAGCCGTTGTCTCTCTTGGTTGGTCATGGAGGAAGCAACAATAGTTGCATTAGGCTTTCTATTCTGCTTCCCCTGAAACTTCTTAGGCTTGCTAATCAAATCTTAGCAAATTTCTTCACCAAAGCTTGTCCTTGTCATATTCACCTTTCCTTTGTACCTTAGCCTTCTTGCTTTCACCTTTAGACATAAAGTAACCTTCTCCGGACAGCTAGAAGATATTCTGTACAAAGAAGTCTGGTGAAAGTAGAGGGTGAGAGGGTGAAGCAAAGAGAGGGTTGGTGAGAGAGGAGAGGTTGGACGAGATTGAGTGATTTGGGGGGAGAAGTAAGACAGGGGGAAGGGGAGGAAGTTCAGGATTCTCAGTTGGAACAGTAGCAGTCTCTGAGGGTCGAGGGCTGAGGAAGGTGGAATGGATGAGGGCAGGTTCAGAGTAGTAGGAAAGTGGAGGTCTGAGGTGTCGATCGAAGCCAAGACTTTCAAGTTCGATGAGGAAAGGATCAAAGGTAAGGATGTTTTGAAAATCAGAGAGAATAACAGGGCGACTGTGTTGGTGTCAAAGGAGGTCTTAGTCTGGTAGAAAGGTTTCATAGATGGGGCTATCAACTCTGGTAAGGTGATTGGATGGACAAATTCTTTGGCTGTACCAGGTAAGAAATATGTAACAGAATTGAAAAGAAACAGAAAGGGTT